CAAGAATGTGTCTTTAGGAGTACATTTTACTTGACTCTCTGTCCCTCTTTATTTCATATTTTGCACTGATCCTCTTGAACTATGGCCTGTCGTGAGTCTGTTTACTTCCATTTACTTTTCTGGGGGTGGCATACGGAGTTGGAAAATGGCATTTCAGTCTCTTTAAGGAGATGTTTATGCTTCCTTTCCTGTCTGAGATAGCAAAACACTTTAATTATTATCTACAACTGTGTCCTTCACCATTTTAGATATAGAACCCCAAGAACAGTTGAAAACTATGGATGCTAGTCACTGAAAGAAATGCATATAAAATATTGAAAACAACAGCGGCAGTTATCACTTTTCCCTTGAAGTCCATCTAAGAGGAGCAACAGGTCCATGGGCAAGAGTCTCTGCACTTCAAAGACTTTTTCTCTACCAGCCTCTGCCTTCTTCTTTCCTTCTGTTTTTCTTCTCCAGATAAAGTCTAGGCACAGAACTTTAGTAACAGATCTGGTGGAAAACTCAGCAGGTGAAAGAAGAGATGCCTAACAGTCCTGTATCTTACCAACCCAAACTCTGAAGTCTCACTGAGGCCAAGTTTCACATGTGATATTTGGAAAGTATGGTTACAGAAACAAACCAATCAACAGGCTGGTAAGCAGTCAGTAACAACTGCCCAGGCCACCTCTGTGTGGACTTTTGCACTTGCAGCTCCCTAGACTCAAAAAATACTCTGCAACAGATGTTTGCACATCTGCATCCTTCTCATCAACTGGTCTCAGTTTAAGTGCCACCTCCGAAGAGAACCTATTCCTTACCTACCATCCAATCTAATGCAGTATCCTCACCAATAAAGCCATTCTCCAGCACATGACCCTGTTTAGAGTCTTCAAAGTGCTTAATACCACCTAAAATTATTTTTTATTGCTTTTTGTCCTTGCTAAATGTCTATGTCCCTAACTAGAATATAAGTTAAAAGGGTGGAGAGGTTTTTGTCTGCAACATTTTGCACTATCAGAATGTAAATATCAGTCTTTATAATACCTGGAGCCCAGCAGGTCCTCACAAAATATTTGGAATGAATGAATCTGATGGAAATAAATTGATGGCTGAAGATATTTCCACCTGTGATTTTTAAAAATCTATACTTTTATATAAGTATGTAGTTCATTATAGGTATTTGAGGAGCTGTGTACCAAACCCAGCAATACCTCTGATAGGAATGTTTCTAAGATGTGCAATTGTTGCTAAGTTTCTGCTCTGTCATTTTTCACAGGTTTCAAATGTGTCATAAAATATTATCGGGTCAGGGACTATGCAGGCCACCAGATGGTTGAGAATGATTTATTTCCTTGATTTCAGTCTACTGAAGAATGTTTGCAGGCAAAAAGCCAGTTCTTATCTCTGAGCTTACAGAATATGAAAGAAAAGGGACCTTGAAGTTCATCTAGTCTAGATTCACTCCTAATTTTAAAAACTCATTCTACCCACCAGTGGCATGATTATCTGACCTTGACTTTAATATTTTTAGTGATGAGACACTCACTCACTATTTTTCAAGAGAATTTGTATCACAATTGGAAGGATTTTGATGAGCAAGGTCTTCCTTCTATTGATTCAAAGTTTCCTTCCTGTAAATTCTGGCCCTTGGTGCATCAATGAGTAAATCTAGTTCCTGTTCTGAATGATGAACTATGAAACATTTGAAGACATCTAAAATACCTCCTCTTAGCATTTGCTACTTCAGAATAAACGTCCCAAACACCTCCAGCCATGTCTCACTGGTTCTTCCTTGTAGGCCCCTCATCTTCCAGGTGGGTGATCTCTGGGCACACAGCAATCAGCAAACGTATGTTCTCCAGGGCAAAGTGGAATTAAGTCTTATTTTTAATGATCGATTTAATTGTATTTAAAGTACAATTAGCCATAAAACTACTAAGTGGTGATCCACTTTTCTAAGTCAACTATGCATATAATTATGCACTACAGCACTACCAACATTAGTATCTGTTATTAATTGTAAACGCAAAAGCAGCATGAACCTCCATCTCTGCTGGAAGTCTGTCTAAAGAACATCTCATAATATAAGTAATATAATGACATTGTCATAATGACAATGCCAGCTTACTATTGAAAGTCTTTTGATGAAAATATGAAAAAAACTTAAAATAACCATGCCATCAATTTACACAGGTACAATAGTGTCACTTTTTTCAATCTTAAAATTCATGGAACAAGCGATTATAAACATCCTGAAAGAAAAGCATCCCATTATAAATACTACCAATGAAAATAGTATTTTCTAAGTGAAAATAATCTAAGATGAACTAGTAAAATGAATTGCATTTTTACAACAGAAAAATTTTATTACATATTTAAATGAATATTTTCCAACAAAATAGGGTAAAAGTGAAATGAATTTATGCAGATTCAGAGTTTGTGGGAAGATCTGGCAAATTGATTCACGTTCTGCCATTCTCAGGATCAATATTGATCAATAAGCATACTATTAATATTAATTACTATAGAAGGTGGAAATTACTACATATGGTGGTATAGTCAATAAATTCTCACATTGATGTTCCACTCCTAAAAACTAACAAATTGGATTAAGTTCACCCTAGGAAAGTTGGTAGGTTTCAATTCGCGTATCTACACTTATATCTATATGGCCATCATTTGCTTTCTAAAAACTTAGTGGTAACTTATAATGTTTGAATATCCACAATTATGTCTGCACTCAGTATTATCTTAGAAAATATTAAGCACTGTTTTCTGTTTTATGGGACAAACAGGACTTTAACTGATGAACTTGTTAATTGACCATCCCTATTACAGACACCTGCTAATATTCAGCTTTCATCCAGAGAAAAAGATGTAGCATAATCACTGAGGAACTCAGGGACATTGACCCAATAATTCTTTGTTCAATATACAACACCTTGCATATTCTTTTTTCATCAAAGCCAAAAGGTTATACTAAACATAATTTGGTTAAAATGATAACACCCAAAGACAATGCTTCCCAGTAGTGTGAGACATTACTGAAAGTATTTTACTTACCTTTTAAAATAAACATTTATCCAGTTGTTTGGACAATTCTTGTTATGAATTGAGTTGTATTCCCCACCCCACATGCATATGTCAAGGTCCGAATCCCCAGTACCTCAGAATGTGATCTTATTTGGAAATAGAATTGTTGTAGATGTAATGAGTTAAGATGAGTTCGTAGTAGAGAAGGGTGGGTCCCTCATCCAATATGACTTGGTGTCCTTATGAAAGGGGGAAATTTGGAGACAGATGCAAACAGGAAAAATGCCATGTGAAAATGAAGGCAGAGATTGAGTGATGCTTCTACAAACCAAGGAATGCCAATGATTGCCATAGAACCACCGGAAGCTGAGGGGGAGGCATAGAACACATTCTTTCTCATACTGCTCAGAAGGAACCAAACTTGCTGACACCTTGAACTCAGATTCATAACCTTCACAATTGGGAGGCAATAAATATCTGTTGTTTAAGCCAATCACTCTGTGCTGTCTTGTTACAGCAGCTCTAGGGAACCAATACAATTCTGAGGCTCAAAAATACTAGGCCCTCTTCTTTGTGTTATTCCTTCAGAGTCCAAAGCACTTTATTTTGGATATTGCTAAATGTGCCATAGTCTTGTTCTCTGAGATTAATGTTTTTTAACAGCCAAAAACTACTCATTTCTAAGACATGAAAAGAATGGATCATTTCTGTAGGTAATCCAGGATCTTTTTCAAATAAGTTAGTTTATACTTTAAGTTAATGAAACTGATGTTTATACAAATGTACAAACTGACTCTGGCAGCCTAAAAGATGTTCTGAATAATAATAGTATTTCCAGAGAAAAATATGTAACCTCTTAAGGTAACCATCTTGAAATATGTAGAAATACATGTTTCACAAATCCTAATGTGTTTTGTCTTAAAGCTTTATCTTTACAGCCATTATATATATATGTGTGTGTATGTGTGTTATATTGTGAATAGTGCTGCTACTTTATGTTAAGCCAGAAGTTTTCCATAGTGCTGTGTGATACCCAGGGACATGACTGGAAGTCTGGCTGGGAAATGATCCCAACTCTTCAGCCTGAGCAGCTTCCCTTCCATCTGATTTACATTTTGAGCTTCCATTCTTGACCAAGACTGCAAATAAACTTTTTGTAAGGATGGAAATATTCTAGATTGGTGTTGTCCAATACAGGAGCCACTAGTTCCAAACAGCTTTTGAGCCCTTGAAATACAGCTAGTGCAACTGAGGAAATGAAATTTTTATTTAATTTAATTTACATTTAATTTAAATAGCTACATATAGCTACTGGATACTGTATGGGATGGTATAGATTATAATTTGAAATAGGATTCTGCTGATAATGAAATTTGAAAATCACCACTAAATATGAAGGAATAGGAAAACTTCTGATAACAAAGGTATAACTGATGATTCTGGTAAATTCTCCCAGGAAACACAAATATGCAACTTAAGGTACGAGACACTTGATTATCATCCCAGTGAGCGTCTAACTCCATCACATCAGCTAACTAAAGCTGACATCACTGATCGTTAGCCAGCAGGGGGAACCGAAGAGCACAGGACAGCATTCTCTCAGGAGAGTGAGATTGTTTCCCCTCTACATGTTTTAGTCTACGTGGAGGCCTAAAATACATACTCGGCTCAGTAACTCCAAACGTTGTCTTCCCAAATATCCAGTTAGTTACACACTCTGCATGTGCCTGTTTTCAAAGGACCCCCTAGGAGGCAGCAATGGAACTTCAGACAAGAGTTTACAATCCAATTAATTCTAAACCCTAGTCTTCTCTAAATCCCTTTGTTAAAATGTAGTTAGTATTCAGATTTTTATATTGATTTTTACCTTTATCCTGTTTCTTCACATATCAGAGAAAAGTGTTAAGAGCCTTTGTGTTTAGACAGAAGAGGAAAATTTCATCGGCCCATTCTTTTATTCATAAGTTAACCACATGTGGCCTTACCTCCTGATAAAGGTCACTGAGATCTTCCTGGTGGGCCTGTTTGGAACATCCTGGGAATTCCCTAACACAACAGGAATCCGGGGGCCAGTCCATCTCTGTCATTTCCAACCAGTCGGTGAAATACACCACTCCACAGCACTTAAACTGCAAAAGAACAACTGGTCAGGCCCAGAAACTGCAAAAATATTTTCTTAACTTATCGGAGATTAAACGCTAGATTTCTTAAATTTCTGTACCCAGAGCTAAACTCACTTCTTTCATCACCTAATAATACATGTACGTTCTACATCAAGGACAAACATGTTGTAAGGGGCTCCACAAGAGAAGACTTCTGAACAATAATGCCCGTAACACATGAGAACAGATCAGGCATAACTGAGTCTCACTCCCCAGCTGCAAGGTCCTCTACAAATGATCATATAGCCACAGGGTTAATTTACACACTAACACAACAAATAGCTGAAATCTTCTATTTATCATTTAACTTCTTGGCCACTAAGGAATAGTTGGTCAATCTATTTGTATATTACCTAGTTAACAATTTAACTACTTACAAAATTCATATATTATATTAAAAGTTTCCATAATGTCTGTAGAAAGATTTGTTGACCAAAAAAGCCCACATCATAAAGATTAGCTAACTTGGATTCATTAGCCAGTAAAATTTCAAAACTGTTTGAGATATAAACACAGTTTTGGCCAACAAATTGGTATTCAACCAAGTGAGAGTCTTGAAACAAATTATCATATTCTATCACCACAATCTCAGAAGAAATGATGTGACTTCAGTCTAAATAAAGTTGGATTTAAGATAAACTATGTTGCCTTTTTTCTTTTTTGTCTCATTTCACCAAAGATTAGTAAAAACTTTCTCTGAACAAGGACACAGATCTATCTATGTCCAAGATTAACACTGTGTCATAAAATATCACAATCTACCATTGAAAATTCAACTACCATCAGTTTTGGAGAATTCTGCACTTCTCATCTAAAATGAAAAGAAAAATACTAAAAATGATTTTACATCTTTTCATTTACCTAGATATCTAATTTTTTAAAAGAAAAAAATCCCCTTCAGAGTACTTAAATGATGAATTACTGAGGCTATGAGTTATACTAAAATTTTCCAAGAAACTTAAAAAATATTTTTAGTAGTTTCCTTTTACAAACTTGTTCTAAAAGCCATGAATATACCTGAACATCACAAATTAGGTCAAACATAATTTGACATTATATATTTTACATAAGTTACAGACAGTATCCATCAAAACGTAAAAAGACTTCAGTTTCTAAAAATCATAAACAACTACATTTCCAAGTCAGTATTTTTACATCCTTGCAGTCAGAGAAAACCCACTTCTCATTCCCTAACGACATGTGTTTTTCCACATTGATGACAGGACAGTTCTTGGAATACAGAACACTGCAACTCCATCCGCAATGAAACAGCCCATTTATGTGGCTTTGTCAGGAAATGAGGTGCTCTACATAAATGAATTTTCCAAATAACTTAGGCATACCAGTGCCAAACAATTTTTATTTTAATAAGTGGCTGAGTTGTTTTTATTTTTAGGTAGTTTTTTTCTTCATCAACAGAAGATCATGAATTTGTACTGAAAATTTTCCTGCAAACTCCCTCAAGAAAACCCATTGATATGTCACCCATGCCTGTGATCTACATTTCCTTGTACTTTTCCTGCCTCCTTTAAAATGGCATTGTGAGATGGGGCCACCCTTGCTAACACTGTGTCAAACTAGAAATGCCCCCAGCACTCCACACATGAAGAAGTGAGGATCTGAGGGGCTAAGAAAGCTGCTGGGGCTGCAGAGCAGTGTGTGGCAGAGCCTGTTTATTTGAAGCCTGTACTCCAACCACTATATTAAAATACATTTGCAAAACTCCATTTTTTGTTTCAAGGTATTAAATAAATGTGCCAAGGGCTTAAGCAAGAGTCCACAGAGCTACAGTGGAGTCAGGAAGCCTGAGGCTTGACAAGGTCACTTTCAGCTCTACAAGTTATTTTGAGAGAGGGAAGTTATGAGCTGAACTGTGGCTCCCTCACCCTAAATCCATGCTGACCCCAAGAATATGACCGTGTTTGGAGACGGGGTCTTTAGAGAGGTGATTAAATAAGGTCATAAAGGTGGGCCCTAATCCCATATGACTGGTGTCCTTATAATAAGACACTTAAACACAGACACATCCAGGGAGAAGACATGACGACACAGAGAGAAGACGTCCATCTGCAAGCCCAGGAGAGAGGCCCCGGAAGGCAGCAACTCTGCCCACACCTTGATCTCAGCCCCTGGCCTCCTGAACTGTGAGACAGTGGCACATTGTGATGACGGCAACCCTAACAAGCTAATACAACGGGCTTTTAAAAGCTCTCTGAGGGTGTCCAGAGGTCTTCACCACTTCCTTTTGGGCAAAATAGGCCTATGATATGGAGGAGACTTGTTACCATGCAACAAATCTAAAAATATGTGTGCTCTCATTCACAATGCTTGTAAATTGTCCATCTAGGTGGAGGCCCTCTTCCTACCATTAGAAAAAAACTCATTTTTTTTTCTTAACCCGGGTCATCATGGTCTACATCACAAATTCCCAGAAAATAAGCTCTGGACAGCTTCTACCCAGGGCAGTAGCTGAACAGAGCTTATTATAAGTTCCCTAATGTTTCATTTATTTTCCCTTCATGTTGTTTTTAGTACAAATGAACAGCAAACAAACAAAGTCAGGAAGCATTTAAACAAACAGGAAATCTGTGTTACAATGATAATTTTCACCATCTCAACGATTGTGACACAAAGAGCCAGATTTGGAGACTCTCCTGGACTTGAACCTCTGTCTGTGTAGTGGACAGAGTAACTGAGCAGAGAGCTGGGTAGCTGTCATTTAAGACACTGATTCTCAAATACCTTATGGCCCAGCATTGAATGAAATTAAAGAAATAGGAACCCTTGGGAATATTCTGGAAACATCACTCCAATCACAAGGAAACTGCTTGGGAGAAAAGCTTGGTTGGAAACAATAACAATGGTTAATTTCAATTCACCAGATTTTAAACACCTAAATATAGACTCTGTTAGAGAAGATTGAATGTAGTGCTCTATGGAATTTAGGACAGCAAAGCTAAAATACTTAAACTCTGTAATGTTATTGTCAAAGATAAACTAAATAAAATGAAATTTATCTTAACCTTCTCACTTACTCTTCTCAACACCCTGAAGAGCTAAGTACTTATTATCACTATGTTTCAAGTGAAAAGACTGAGGCTTACAAAAGTTAAGTAAATTATAGAAACTCATGTAATAGTAAGCAGTGGAGCCAGATTTGAACCAAGGTCTTTCTGACTAGAAAGTTCATGCTTTTAATTATTTACTGGCTCTTATTCTCAAATGAGAACGATTATTTAAAATTTTTAAATGATGATTGAAATACAGTACTAAAAACATGAAAAATGATCTCTTCAAAGTGAAATTGGATATTTATTAAGGAACTCTCATATAAGGAAAACACCACAGTTTTAGTAAAAAAGACTTTGAAGAAATTCTAAAATATATGTGAACCATGTGAAATGAAAGGGAAACGGCATACTTGGGAAGAAAACCAGGGCATGGAGTAACTAAGGTATTCCTCAATAAAGAATTACACTGGTGGTAACTAAATCATAAGATCCACTTTTTTAGCACAGAGTAAATGACCAAAACCAATGTTTGGAACATTTGTTTTGGAAGTGTGCCATTTATTCCACACCCTCTACCTCAGAAACTGTAGCACTTACCTCTCTCTGAAAAAAATTCCAAGCATGAGTAAGCCAACGGTATCTAGGTAAGCCATAATTTGTCATTCTAGCTTTCAAAGTGACCATGTCTGACCACTGTACTGGAACCTGGAGATAAAAAAACAAAATATCAACAACTGTAACAGATAAACACACACATTCAAACACACAGACATTCACATATTCACAAACATGATCACTCGCAAACTCAAACATACACATACTTGGAATGCATTGCAATTGACAAATACTATTTTAAATTTATATTTGCGGCCTAAATTAAGCTAAGGCTTCCTAATACTTACTGAACCATCTCTAGGTGCAGATTTTTGTACTAAAGGAGGAGGTACTTAGCATTTAGCAAAGAATGCAAAATCATTTAATGTCAATATCATGCTCAAGAAAATAAAAAAACAAGTAGTTTACTATGCATCCTACAGATCCACCTGAAAAGCTCCTCAAACAAATCATCTCTGCAGAGAAATGCCCTTTGATTTGACTTCATATGCTATGAAGCTGTTCTTTGAAATGACTGCAAATTGTAGCCCTGCAATAAAAGAAGAATTAAGAAGGGCAAGAGTTCAGCTCATGCGGACCTCACTCTGAAATAAGTTTGTCAACACCTTTTCAAAATTGGAGTTTGGAGGCATGCTAGAATTTTGGAAAAAATTGTTCTCAAAGCATTTTTTGTGCTTTTATTCTCATGTCACCAGCATCATGACTCTTAACAGTGTTGAATCATGACAGAACTTCAGATACACAACACATAGTTGGCCAGAAATCTAGTCAGCGTGTCATGCTCTGTTTTATCTGTAGTGCCATAGGAGAAACAGAGGCATACAGTCCCATCAACAAGTGCTATTACGTTTAGATTATGGAATTGGGAAACCAGACAGACTGATCTGTGGAGTAATACAGACTGGGCTTAGTCAAGCAAGCTTGACACCAACTCAAGATTTAGGTTATTTTAAAGTCTTATTTTTTAAAATATTAATATCAATAAAGTAGTTTAAAAATTCCTGACCACAGAAAAGTCTTCATGTTTTTTCCTTTGCTAACTTCTTTTTATGACTTGGAAATTTATAATACAAAAAAACACCTCAACACTTGGGCACATAACTTAGTTCTCCAAATAATGGGCCAATTGGGTATACTTCATGTCCAACCAAGTTCAGGGAACTAACTAAAGTTCAAGTTACTCACTGTATTATTATTATCTTGTATCCTTTTGAGCATAAAATAAATTGAAATAAATTCTCTAGGAATATATAATCTGAAACAATATTATTGACATATTTTTTTCTAGAAAAGGAATAATGAATAGGAGATGACTATATAAACAACAGAAATAATGGGGTGACAGACTGATGTCAAATCTCTTGATTTGGTTATTAGAATTAGCCTTACTTTTTCTTTTATTTTCCAAAATAAATGTATATTGTTTCCCCCTTGTGGCCACAATTGATCTGAGACCAAATGTGGCAAAAAACAGAGATCATTGAGATTCTGGCACTAAATACTGTGATTTAGCAATGAAGGAAAACTCATTTACTGGCTTCTTTCATGGAACTGTTAAGAGCACAAAGCCCATTCTATGCAAAGGTTGGGTTCTGCAAAATTTGGCAGCTAATAAACTTAATGGTAGTTTTCATTTACACTGCTATTAGTGCAAAAGCAATAAAAAATTCTGACAAACTTTTTTCTAAAGGATTACTTTCCACATTTCACTTTTAAACATCCCTTGCTCTATCCTGGTGACTGAATAGGGGAGATATACACAAGCAGTTATATATGCCCTCAATGGAAATCGCACTGTGCACCCATTTAATGCCACTGTTACTGAGAAGATATTTGCAGATTACCCCTTAACAAGATATAAGAAAGTTCTCTGAACAACTACAAATTCCTTTCAATTCAATTCTCAGAATTATATTACAATCAAACCATTTCCTTTCAAAACCCTTAAATTCTTTCTGAACTTGCTGTAAGTTAGATTTATCAAATTTTAGCATGACATAAACACCATACAAACCATTTAAAAATCCACAGAAAGTAAACTCATTTCTAAAGACCTTTTACTTATCAAAGAACACAATCAAAGGCTAAGGTGAGGGGATAAAGAATTAATTATATGATTTACTATCCATTGCCTGAATGTCAAGAAGACACATGGATGTATTTTTTGAAAACAGAAAAAAAATTAAAAGAGACCATTTCTTTACCAATAAGACCCAGAAAGTGAGTCCCTGGAACCAACTACTTTTTTACTCCCCTAAATATGAACAAAGTTTCTAGGGATGAAGTAATCACGTGATTTTCAAAGACCGCAGGAGCAACCCTATTTTAAGGGAGATTTAGTTTTGAAGAAAGTTCTTAACTTTATATGAAACATGCCCTGATTTTTCTATTTTCAATAGAGAAAAAATTGTCATAAATTCTCTTTCCTGACTGAGAGTTGTCATACACTGAGTGTTTTCAAGGGGTTCAGATGTGTGGCAGTGCCAAAGCCCCATTCACGTGCAAACTGGAGCATGCAGAGTACCCACTAGTCTGTAATTACCACTGAGGATTCTGAACAGTTTTACTACAGTAGCAGGTTCACCACTGAATCTTTAATAATGGCGTCAGTACCAGAAACAACTTCAGTTTTATTACACAACTGCCAAAATGCATATCCGAAACAAATACAGAATAACCTCCCTCTCTTCTTAAGAGCCTTTAGATTTTAAAATGTTGAACTCTCACCTGGTGAACTTGCTCAAATGCAAATGCCCAGTCCCTACCCCTTCTTCCTCTGCCTTTCTCACCATTCTGATTTAGCATATCTGGCCTAGAGCCCTATAATGTGCGTTTTTAAGGATCTTCCTGGATGACTCCAGTTGTAGACAGTCCAAGGACAACATGGGGGAAAACATCTTTCTCCTGAAACAGAATTACTCTATGATGCTTACAGTGCAAAAAATCTGGTCTGCCACCATGTAAACCATCAGCAATCACAAACATGCAAAGTTGCTTGACCTCAAAAGTGATAAATACACCAATTTTCATCAGTAAAGTGAGAAAACATTAAGTAATAATGCCCAGTGTGAGCCAGGTGAAGAACAAGTGGTCAGCCAGACATGACTGGTAAAATCTAAAGACTGAGAAGCTGTGATCTATATTCATTCTAACATAGGTATAAAATTTATTCCATGACAAAATGAGAGGAAAAAAAAAATGCTGAAGAGCAGTTTTCACATAGCCAACTCTCAAACTGTGAAAGCATTTGTAGACAACTGAGGTAAACACACCGCAACTCTTCAAATACACTTCTTAAAGTGGAAGGTGGTTCATCTTGCTGCAAAAAGATGCATGCTTCCTAGACATCAGCATACAGCTGTGGTGAATATTCTATAGGTCTTTCATGCAGATCTTCAAGATTTCTCAATCCTGTCACAAACTCAAATCTTTCCTCTTATCATTCAGAAGTTGGTAAACTTATTTTCAAACATATGTTATTTTTAGTCCATTATATCCAGATTTAAGCAAGCTGTGGAATTAAAGAGATAAAGTACACCAAATGTAGTATTACAAACTATGGTTTGGAACCATGCTTTAGACACAGAAAAGAAAGAGTTATTTTTCAGAAGTAAAGGGACTACTCATTGTTATTATAGAGTATAAATACTCAGATTAATAATTGTGTCCTAAGCTACTCCAAAGTATCTGATTTAAAAGGCCAAACTGGATATTATTTCAGATTGTGTTTATATCCCATTTTGACTCACCATAATTTCCTGCTCATATGTCCAAACACCACAAGCCAGTTCTACACAGAAAATGACAAGTAAACTCCCAAAGTACTGTAGAAGAACAGAAAATTAATGCTGTTAAGATAAAATCAAAGTAAAATATGTTCATCAGAGACAAACTAAATATTATTCACTGCTGTTTATCTGATGGACAGAAAAACAGAGGCACATATTTAAGAAGCTCCCTTGGGAGCAGCTGGGGATAATTTCAGCACATTTAGAGACATCTGTGTACAACATCCAATACTCACCTCAGTGGGCCATGCAATAGTGCCCTGTTTACCATGTACTTTCATCATTAACTCACTCAAGAACCTTGTGCAATGAATAGGACTACCTCTTTCACAAATGAGAAAATTAATGCAACAAGTGGACGATGTGACTTGCTCAAGAATGTGCATAGTCAATTTTGGAGGGCTTAGGCCATTGGGGCCCTGTGCCGTGGGCTGTATTGGGACCTCCCCAGCTGTGGAGGCAACTGTACGGAAGTAGATAGCAACAGTGTGAGAAAGAATAGGCTCTCTGAAAGCTCCCTGCACTGATTCCAGCATAAACAAGACACCACCACTGCTCTCCTGAATCTTTCACTCCCTTTATAGTGCTAGTCAGACTGGGGGTACAGGATAGTGATGTTTATTGATTATTCCCCTTCACTGAAATGACAGCTCCATTAAGGGCAGGGACTTCATTGCATTGCTCATCACAAAGTAGGTGCTCAATAAATGTATATCCCGTAAAAGAATAAATGAAAACAAAACTGAGCAATATGATAGTAAGAGACTGGGAGCTGCCTTGGACTGGTTGACCAGAAAAGGCTTTGGTGATATTTTAGATGAGTCAGTAATGACAAGGAGAAGGCCATGCTGATAAGACTTGTGGAAGAGCCACTCAGTAGGAGGAAATACGAAGTGCAAGGTCATCTTTCAGGGTGAGCTAGTTAGTTAAGAACTCAGTGGTAACTGAAGCACAGAGTGGGGTGGGATGGCACACAGAGAGTGTGAGCAGATGGCAGGTACAAAGAGTCAGATCTTTGTGGACCACAGAAAGGATTTTGGATTTTATTTTAGGTTTAACTGAAATCCATTAGCAGGGCTATGATCTGATGTGCATAATAAAAACTGAATTCTGGCTGTTTTGTGCAAAATGACCTGTTGGGAAGCAAGGGTGTGATCAGGGCAACTAAATTAAGGATTGCAGAACTAGGATGCTACCAGGGAAATGGGAGGGAAAAATGAATTTATTAAGGACTGTGAGCCATCAGGATTTGAATGTTGAATTTCTTTGCTCATAATTTTTGCCAAAAACAGGAGAGGTAAGTATAAAACATAGAAAATTGAGTTGATTTTCTACTACTTCCATGTGTGTCCCCTATGATTTAAAAATATAAATCACTGCTATTTGCTCTCATATAAAAAAAATAAAGACTATATAGCTGCATAATCTCTTAGACAATACTGTGGCTTAAAAATAATTGGTTCCAAAGAAAAAAGGTCCCCTTTTGGGATCCTACATCCCATTAAGGAGATGCCATTTTACAAGCAGTTTTATTTTCAGTATATGTAGTTCTCCTGGTCAGCTTCAATCTCCTCAGATCTCATTTCCAAAAGTTGCCTTCCTTTGAAGACTTTAGCCTTGAAATGATGATTAGAAGAAATTTTGTCAACACAGTATTCCAAGTCAGGCTTTCTCCAAACTCTCTCATAATACTTTACTCAAGAGATCGCTAGACATAAACAATACTATATTTGCACCTTACATTACAAAGAGATAAACTGTTCAATAATTATACACAAGATCAGTGTTCTTATATTTGATAAGATAAAATCCTAGGGGAGATTAAGACTCCAGAGTAAAACTATACTATGGGATACTCTTGTTTTCTCAGATCGCTGACCTAAATTCTTTTCAAAATTGATGTGTAATTATAACAAAAGCCAAGGCAGCTCTGAAAGGCAAGATACTGCTAAGATAAAACACGGACACGGACGAGAATTATGCACGCTGTTGCTAGAAAGAGAGCAGGAGATATCCTAACTTTGCCTTGGGGATAACCATGCAGATTTCTGGATTGATTTTATATCCTTTTGAACTCCACTGGAGTCATATCCCTTGTTTTTGCCTCTTATAGTCACTGACCGGTTTATGATGTCTGTGCTGCACCACAGAAAGGCTCCCAGCACAGGGCCAAGGGCCATGCTCAGGTGCATGTAATACGTGTAATGCCTGAGTAACTCTGCCAGGCCTATGGAGCCAAACAACACTACAATAACTAGAGGCCTGCACCACCTTTGACTTCTTAAAGTGAGCTTTACAATGAGCCAGCTTTACTGTAACTTAAGTATCCCCAGGAATGCATACATAAAGCATATATATTATACGTATAAAAAACTGTCTCTCATTACAAACTGAACACTGAGATTACCAATCATGGGAAGGAGGGGGTCCACATGAGTTGGACACTCTTTTAACTCTGGGAAAACTAAAATGATCAACTCTTTTAGATTTCTAGTGTTCTCATTGGTGCAAGTTCTCCCATACAAAACAATGGTGTCTTTATTCCACTTATACTCAGGAACACAGATTTATTTGACCTTAAGATTTAAAATACAAGTTTCATCAACAGTATAAAACTTTCTTGGAACAAATCAAACCTAGAATTAAATTCAAATAAAATATTTGTTTTTACAAATGCTGCTGCCTCTTCACAGTCAGTGGCTCTGCTTTGTTATCATTGCATTAGCCTCACACATCCAGTCTTCTAATTCCAAGGAAATCTTCAAATATCAAATCCATCCTTAAACCAACATAAATAGATCAACCCCATTTACCCTTGCATTTTCTTTTCCAGTAAGCTCTGAGTCTAGCTAAATTTATTCTCACACTGATTATCACACAGGGAACCATTTCGCCATTATTCAGCTTAAGGGCTGGATCTGAGTTAGGCGTCTATAGAACATGGTGTTAATCCATAGAACAAAACAAGCAAAGAATCAAGCAATAGCTCCCACAGAACTTTGTTATGGTTTGAAGTGTACATGTATGTCATATTCCAGTACAAAACCGTCTGTTGTCCCCAGTGTGACTGGGAACGTGTGTATATCTCCCCTCAGGGTGTCAGCATGTGTCTCTCATGCCTCTTACTTTCCTAATGCACATGGTTTGATGAGATGGCCTGTATCGGTCTAGTCTGCAGAGCCACTCATTCCTGTCTTCTCCTTGTGCTGTCCTGGAATGGTGGAAAGGGCTCTGAATTTGGAGTCAGAAGACTGACGTTCAAGCCCAGCTCTGAAACACACTGTGATCTTTGGCAAATCATTAAACAGCCCTGGCTTCAGTTTGTTCATCTGTATAATGAAGATAAAAGATAAAGCTTTCTTCACTGTTATCATCAAGGTTGGTTGGACACACGTGACAGTGGTTTGGAAAGTTTTAAGTTTGTCAAGAATTACATAATACTTTTCTGAACTAGTTTGTGAAATACAATCCAATATTGACGTGCCCTTTCTTCCCATACATAGCCTTTGAGGCCTGCTAAGTGCCAGTTTCTTCATTATCATTTTTCCAGTATTTCTTCTCATTCTTTGTCCCATTATTTTTCTCCTTCTTTCTGTGTTTCTCCGTCTGCTGTACATCAGGCCTCAGAGGCTTCGTGTTCAAACCAGTTGACTACCTCACCCGTGAGTCACAGGGCTCACGGAACTGCTAGCTCACTGGTTCTGGCTGGTAGGCCTCTTGTTCTTAAACATTATTTTATCCTCAGTGACTGGGCAGTCCCTGGCACACAGCAAGTACCCAAGGAACGTTTGTGGTAATGATCAGTTTCCCAACTAAAAAGACCAATTTCAAATTATGTTGAGATTCTCTAAGGTGAACCCTGTTTTTTTGTTAACATTTGATTCCTTTTGACTTCTGCTTACCCATTTATATTTTAAATATTGTCTTTCTGTTTTACTGCTGTCATTTTTGTTTTGTGGATGATTCCAAGATAATCCAGTGTGTCCTTAAACATTTAGACAATTTACATAGCTAAAGGAAAGGAACAATGTGCAGACTCTCCCCATCATTCCTGCCCTGCTAACAACTAAACATTTTAGACAAAGGAAGAATGGGAAAGTGTGTGTTTATACAAGGAAATTGGAATGCAATTATTTGTATGACAAACTATTTTGTTTTAAAAATTATGCAATATTGAGTTCCTTAAAATAGCTAAATTCCTCTAATGTAATTAAACTAAAATTTGTGTTATAAGAATAAGTTTCATCCCTAAACATTGTTCATAAAAAGCTTGCATCAAGCAAGGCAAGCTCATAATAAGACATGTCACTCAAAAATGATGCAATTAATTAGTGATACTTTTTCCACCAAATTTCTCAAGTTGAGAATAATTAATTATCTCTCAATTAAAAAATGAGTGCCCTCATCGGGTTAGATAAAACATGATGAATGTGAAATTGCTTTTTGGACTCTTTTCTAACAATTATACAAATGGAAAGAGCAGTGACTTTGAAATAAAATAGACCTGGCTCCAGATTCTGGCGCCTTTACCCACCAGTTGGATGACCCTGGGCAAATTAAAAGGCCTCCATTTCCTCAGTTGTAAAATGAGAATGTTAAAACCCCCTTGCAGTGCTGCGTTAAGGATTCAAACAGATAAAGTGCTGTCATATAGGAAGCAATCCTTAAATGGTAGTCATTATTAACCATACATAGTCTCTCTTGGAACATAAACTCAATAAGGACAAGAGGTACCATTATGGCCAGTTATCACACTACCCGGCACAGAGCAGGTACTCAACGTGTATTCTTTGAATAGACGTAACCATGATTGTAGGATGATGGCGACTAAAACTATTCATCTCCTCCTAAAACTACCAGAATCACTCCCACTAAAAGACATCTAATCCCACAGGCTATCTGGTAAAATCTTTAGTAAAATTGCCGTGCGGTAAGAATATAGTTGGTATTTTTTCAAAACATCTTTATTAGGAAACTAGAACAGGAAGGACATGGGCAGGTAGGGAACCTGGCTTCTTTTTCCAAAAATACTGAAA